TTTCATGGTTCCCAAATTCTTTTTTGATGTGCAAGTCTTTTCATGCCTTAAGGAAGCACGGAAGAAAGTATGGAAGTACTTGAAACATTAATAAATAGGTGCTGGAGGCTGATATTATAGGCCAACTAGGTGTAGGAGGAGCTGGTGTCTTAGTGATGAATCAGAAATGCTAGGGCGGGGGGGAAGGCATGTCAGGAAAGACTGGGAGGATGCACAGCTTGAAGTGACACAAGGGCAATCACACACACAAAAATTTAAAAAAAGAAGCACTTTGAACGGATCTGAAATGTGCAAGACTTTGTAAGAAGCAGAGACAAGGAAGCAAGACAATGCCTAGGTGGAACAGTTCGCTGAGGTGATGGATGGGAAAGTCTGTATCTTTGATATGTTACACAGAAAAAACCTCAACAGGGTGTGATTCAGAACTTGGATGTGAGGATGTAGGGAGAATTCAGAGCAGAAGACCACGCATGGGTTATGGGTCTGAATTACAAGAAGATTGTGTTCTCCAGCTCAATCAAGAAAGGAGGTAGGAGAATGAGATTAGGGCAGTATCATCCTGCTGTAGCCACACTGAGGATGAGCAAGGGCTGGTCTTAAAGATCTAAGGGGAAAGGGTGTTAGAAACCAAATGGGCTCTGAATGGGAAAGGTTGGTTTTTGAGTCATCCCCAGACATAGTAGTAAAATGTATACATATATTTCGCAACACAGGGAGAACGGGGAAATGGGCCAAAGACCATTTGTCTTCTGGAAAAGCTTGGCTGTGGGTAAAAAGTCTCTTCCAATTAAGTAATGATTGGAGGGATAGGATGAGAAACATGAAGAGAGAGTCGCAGGAGCCACTTTGTGACACCAGATTTCACAAAGAACGTGCTTACAGGACCCCAGTCACCATTGGGTTCAAGAGAATGCGAAAACCATTTTGAGCTGTGTCAGACTTTCCATGGAATCTGGGGGCCAAAGGAAAGACAGGAAAGCATTTGGGAGAAAACTGAAGAAGAGGCTTTGCAAATAATGACTGCAAACAGTGTGCCCAGATTGTGATCACTGCAGTCATTTCAAAAAGAAAAAAATAATAACATGGATATGGATCTGTACTTCCACAGGACTTACTTTGTCTACCTTTGAAAAATGTGAACTACTCTAATAACTTTCCAGAAATGCTGGCATGTGGAAATACAGTGACTTTAGTGCTGATGATCAAGCACTTTTGCACCTCAAGCTCCCAGTTACATTAGTAATTGATCAAAGACAAGGCAGCGAGTACAGGAAATTCCTGGTTCTTGTGAAAACCTTTAGGTTTCAGAGCAAGACACTTCTGAGAATGTTCTGGGCATCTCTGAGAAAACACTAATAGATGCAGAATCTATATAGTGTAGCACAGGCTCACAAAAACAACTAATTCAATATAGTTCTATATTTAATGTTGTTCAGCTACAAAGCAACACCACTGCAGCGTGGAAAATCACTGGCAGACTTACAGGGATATGCATATTACCCAATATGACAGAACCAAAGGATGAAAAATTACTCTTAGACTTTGGTAAAGAGTAGGGAAGTCAAAACAAGCACAAAATTGTAGAAATACAGAACTTCATCATGGTTTAGACACAGATACTTTAGAATTTGGAAAGGTCATCATAAACTACAAAACCTACAGAAATGTCACTTCCTTGCAATGAGCTAGACACAAAGAAACATTCTAAAAAGAAATTGGAAGCTTCTCAGCCTTTTATAGCAAAAGGAAAACTAGCAGTTGGCAGAGAAGAGTGAAGCAAAGGGCAAAATACTGAAGAACAAAAGTCTTCATGGACTGATCTTTTTTTTTCATACTGTGTGTGAAAGCAATTTAACAAGTGAAGACTTGAACATATTTGAAGATACTTTGCTTTACCAGATCAAAACTAGAAGACAGCTGAAATGGCCAACAGACCCGTTGAAGCCTGTTGATCCTGTAGTAACAACACAAAATGTTTGTTTTAGTTGCTCTGCTGGTTGGAGTGCATTGTAGTATCATTGATAATGCAGCTCCTTTTGTGTATGGCCTCTCTTCAGTACCTCTGTCCCCCATTGGCTCTTTGGCTTTTATCAACTCATGGCAGAGTTTCTCACTTTATCCTTTTTTTTCACTAGGGCAAAACTAGTGAGCAGGGTCCAACTGGCTCTGCAAGGCATTGCCGTGGGTCCTCTCTGAAAAACAGAGAAAAGGAAGCAAAAATATAAGCTGATGGAAAAGTTTAGCCGGGTAGACAGATGGGAAAGGCCATTATCCCTCACAGGTTACGCAAAAAGCAAGGTGTGATTCATAGCTTGGATGTGAGGACATAGGGAGTGATTAGAATGGAAGAGTTAAGTCTCATGTAGAAGATGGTCTCCTTTGCCTTGATCAGTTAATTCAGATAACCCGACTGCACCTAAGTGTTTATTAATCTGGATTTTTTTGACCCACTCACACCTGTGCCACGACATTGACCATCAGAGTTTTTTATTAGCTCAGCTGCTTTCCTTCCCTGGAATCCTCCCAGGTTAACCCCTCTCTCCAGGGCTTAATTTCCATACTACGCCACACTCGGGCCAGAAGCTAAGCACTAACCTTCATTAATTCAGCACGTCCAGCTGGACTTGGAGTGTTTATTTCACAGGCCAGCACAACTGTTCAATATATTCATCAGTGACCTGGATGAGGGGACAGAGTGTAACCTCAGCAAGTTTGCTGATGATACCAAACTGGGAGGGGTGGCTGACACCCCAGAGGGCCGTGCTGCCATCCAGCGAGATCTGGACAGGCTGGAGAACTGGGCAAGGAAGAACCTCATGAGGTTCAACAAGGAAAAGTGCAGGATCCTGCACCTAGGGAAGAAGAATGTTAGGCATCAATACAGGTTAGGCATGGACCTGCTGGAGATAAGCTCTGAGGAAAAGGATCTGGGGGTCCTGGTGGACAACAAAATGACAATGAGCAAACAGTGTGCTCTTGTGGCCAGGAGGGCCAACGGAATCCTGGGCTGCATAGGGAAGAGTGTGGCCAGCAGGTCAAGAGAGGTCATTCTGCCCCTCTACTCTGCACTGGTGAGGCCACAACTGGAATACTGTGTCCAGTTCTGGGCTCCCCAGTTCAAGAGGGACAGGGAACTACTAGAAAGAGTCCAGCGTAGGGCTACAAAGATGATTCAAGGACTGGAGCATCTCCCTTATGAGGAGAGGCTGAAAGAGCTGGGACTCTTTAGTCTGGAAAAGAGAAGGCTGAGGGGAGACCTTATTAATGCCTACAAGTATCTCAAGGGCGGGCTGAGGGAGGAGGGAACCAGACTCTTTTCAGTGGTTCCCAGTGAGAGGACAAGGGGCAATGGGCACAAGTTGGAACATAAAGGGTGCCACTTGAATATGAGGAAGAACTTTTTCACGGTGAGGGTGACAGAGCCCTGGAACAGGCTGCCCAGGGAGGGTGTGGAGTCCCCTTCTTTGGAGATTTTCAAGACCCGCCTGGATGCAGTCCTGAGTGACATGCTCTGACAAGCTCTGGGTGGTCCTGCTTTGGCAGGGGAGTTGGACTAGATGATCTCTATGGTCCCTTCCAACTCTAAAAATTCAGTGAAAAAAATTCAGTGAAACTGCCCGAAGATTCAAAACATTTCATGCAACGTATAAGACTGATAACAGACCTAAATGGTATTACTGTTATCAAACCTGCTTTGTTCCGATACCAGTAGCTGCTGTGACTGGGACCAAGGGCACCCCAGCTATGAGCACCAGCAGCATTAGTGGCAGTGGAAGGCAACTCCTGGCTCTACGCCTGCTCCACCTGCCTGCAGGACACACGCCTCAATGCTTTCTCTCTCATTTTCTTTGTGTTCTTACACCTGTAAACTGTATTCCTTACCCATCTGGAGGTGGGCTGGGAGTTCCTTGCCGCTTCCCTTCAGTTCTCCTCGTGTCAGTCCTACCACAGTCTGAGACTTCCACCTCAAAATCCTCTCCAGCCCAGCCAGCTTCACTTCAGCACTGACCCGTCCTCTCCCCAGCCTTTTTGTATCCTTGGCTGGGGATTGAGCCTCGTCTGCCAGGTTCGTTAAACACACTCAGTTCTCCATAATCTGGGTGTACTCAAGGCTCTTGTTAAATCTTTAAAAAACTGAAAAACATCCAACTTTGAAAAGAGCTGCAACTCATCCCCCAGACTTTATGGACCTACTTTTATTCTTTTAACTCCTCCGAGGCTGGTTCCTGCCGCCGCCTCGCCCAGGCCCGTACTTTGCCTTTTCCTTTTCGCATCAAATCCTTTCCAGCCGGGGGGACTTTGCCTGGTGCCTGCCTGCAAACAGCAAAAACCTCGGCTGAGCGGGGTGAAACGGCCACTTTTAATCTTATTTAAAAGGGTAATTCAGATCCGTGCCCTAACGCCCCTTCTTCACGCTCCTGCCTTAACGTTCCCTCGGGGGGCGGGACGGGGCGGTATTCCTTGGGGGGTCCTCAGCTCCCGCCTGTCCCAGGAACAGCCGCCCCGGGGGCCGTGCTCTGCTCCTCCGACCAGCACCGGGGACACCACAAGGCGGCGGAGGCCCTGCTTTTCCCTCCCGTCCCGTCCCGTCCCGTCAGGGCCAGGCCGCCCCCTGCCGCCGGGAGCGCCTCAGCGAGGCCTGGCCCCCAGCCCCGCCTCCTCTCCCGCCGAGATGCGGCGAGTAAAAGCCCTGATCGGAGAGACCTGCTCGATTTCTGATGGACCTCCACGTGTATCTGCACGTTGTCACACACATTCGGCAGCGCTTGCTTCAAATCCCCGGCGGCTTCGTCCATCCTGCTCGCTCCTGAGGAAAGGGACACCGAGGAGAAGGAAGCTCTCAGCCACGGTTAAACAGCAGCGGCACAACCAGTCCTTTCCCGGTCACCCTGCCCTCGTTTAAGTGCCCCCTTGCCCACGGCGGGGACCGGCATTTCCCTCCCTCCCCTCCGTCCCTCCCTCTTTCCCCTCAGGCGGTGGTTCGGCGGGTGAGGGAGGGGGGGGACGGGACGGGACGCGGCCCGGCACCCGCGGGGAGAATGGTGAAGCCGCCCCCAACCCCCGCGGCGGGCCGGGAGGCGGCGGCGGAGGAGCCGAGCCGGGCCCGGTCAGCCCTCCGGTGGGGCTGAGGGGGCTGAGCCGTGCCCCGCCGGGTGGTCGCTAACGGAAGGATGACCACTCCCGCCCTGCTGCCGCTCTCCGGGCGGAGGCTGCCCCCCCTGAACCTGGGGGCCTCCGCCTTCCCCCACCACAGGGCTACCTTGAGACTCTCCGAAAAATTTATCCTGCTCCTTATTCTTAGTGCCTTCATCACCCTGTGCTTCGGGGCGTTCTTCTTCCTCCCCGACTCCTCGAAGCACAAGCGCTTCGACCTGGGCTTGGAGGATGTGCTCATTCCTCATGTGGACACCAGCAAAGGGGGCAAAAACCTCGGCGGCTTCCTCATCCACGGGCAGGGGCACGACGAGCACCGGCACAGGTAGGTGCCCTGCTCGCCGGTAAGGGGAGCGGGACTGGGTTGGAAGGGGTTAGAGCCATTAGAACAGGTCCTTTTCCAACCAACTGCTGTCGCTCCTGTCCCTGGCATCCTCGTGTCTTCCCAACGTGTGTCAACTTCGGAGTGCTAGCCTTCTGCCCTCCGGCTGCCCTACGTGGCCATGTCTCCGTATTTTCTTTTCCAGCCTGAATTTAGCCTTCCCACCAGCCAGGGCTGGGAGGATAAATAGGAGCTCTCCTGCGGTTTCTTGCCCTCACCAATTCCCTGGGTCAGCCCTGCAAAAATTGGATGTTACGTTATGGCGCTTGGGGAGACTATGAGCGACTGAAAAACTGCTGCATCTTTTCTACAGTGCTCACTCGAAACGGCTGCTTGTTGCTGAGTAGGGTAGCGAGAACTTTAATCTGATGAAGACTTCACGCTGTGACCCAGGGGCTGTCAGCCTGTGACGTGCAGGGACACAGAACTAGTGTAGAGGGCATAATTGCCTTTTCTGGCCTTTAAAATCACTTGTTCTAATGTTATTCCGGGCAGTTGGAGGTGCCGGTAGCTAAGTTTCCTTGATTGTGTTTGCCAGTGTAAAGAAATTCGAGATAAAATAGTATTTAAGGGTAACAAGGGTAAATGTCATGCTGTTGATAGCTTTTTGGGGCCACCTAAAGCTTTGTGCAGTGCAAGCCTCTAAATGTTCCAAGACTGGGTCATGTGAAGCCTTCAAAACAGATTAAAAAAACCTGAAATGTGGGTTATACAGTATGTTTGCTTCTAACATACTTTATTTGCTTAAATGCTATCATAGTGCCTGGATTATAATGAAGCTGACTGATCTCTCTTCACTGTCAAAGATGTGTAAAATATGATGATGGGTCATAAAATATAGGCTCTTCCATACTCAAATTAGTAATACAGTGAAATTTAACGAAGGGTTACTTATGCCGATAGTGTTCCTTTGAGAACAGTTTAAAATATATTCAATTGACATGATACAAGAATTATTTAAAGGTTATTTGTGCTATATTAAAAGGAGAGGGTTTAATTGCCTCTTTTTATTCATCTGTTATGAGTTATAAAGATTACCTGAATACTATGGTGTTTTTTCCTTAAGGCATCTTTGCTGTTGGATATCTTGGGGCACTTACCATGATCTCTTACTCCCTAACTGAAAGGGCACGGATGCTTAATATTTAACAAGGACTTCTTTTGTCTGTCACATTAAGTGCTGGTGCAGTTAAATGGTGCACAAAACATAGGTTTAGATGCTCTAACATGCCTTTGAAGTTCTCATCTTTCACTTTATTTTTTTTTTGTGATCTTATTTGTTATCTTCCCCAGTCACTGTGGTACATGCAATCAAAATCAGGTTCTAAAACAGAAGACAGATGAAACAAAAGGAAGAGTTCACAAATTTTCAAACCTGCAGCTGTGACTGTTGTACTCTGTGCTGCCCAGAATATGAGCTGTAAAAAAAAAAAAAAAATTGTTGGTACTGATAATTCTGGAGTGATGCTCTTGATTAACCTACTTACATGGATCCTTTTCAGGTTTCCTCTTTAAGTGTAATTACTGAGGCTACAGCTTTAGTAATGAAGCGTGTACTGGTTTTGCCTGTCATGTGTAGATAAGCAATAACTTATAACTGTCAGAGCTAAATGAGTTTTGCTTGTTTGGGGTCTGTTCTTAAATGAAGTGGTTATTCTGTCATCAGTTAACCCTCTTATAGTTCCTCCATGAGCTATGAATCTGTGTACCTCCCCCTGCCCCTCACCCAAAATTATCCCTGTCGTGTACAGGTGGTTTTTTTTACGGCTGCCTTTTGAGTTGTTATTTGAGCAAGAATAGATATTTTAGCCCTGCAAACCATTGGATCACTCCAAGCATGCCTTAACTACTAAAAAAGCCTGCCTGCTTGTAAAACACTTATGTGAATGACACAATAAGCTTTGCAAAGCAAGGTTATATGCTTTACTTTTGGAGCAACTCTTTTTGCTTATTACCACGTAGTCCTGTCAAGAGGCTATTTGCTAGCTCGGAGCTGATGTGGTGACTGTTTTCCGTAAAGGAAAACACCTGTTGCCACTTCCATTGCTGATTACCCGCTCCTGGATTGCGGGGACATTGACAGATGGTACCTTGAAAACGTGTAGGGTCTTCAGTAGTGCATTCTAGATTACTTGTTATCTCAGTTTAGGATGGGTACCTTTGTTCAGCTTGCTGTCAGGGAGCAGTCAAGTCAACTGCTGTGTAAGTGTTGTTTCTTGGATGGCACTGAGGAGTTACGGTACAAAAGATTGAGAGAAATTAACCTGCTAGTAATACAAAGGAGGATGCAGTCTAAGATATCAAGTGTGATGATGGATTGACAAACTGTATTTCCAAGAATTATGGGACTTCAGAAGAGTCAAGTCAAAGGTCATTCATAGGAAGTATATACTTGAACATGAAATGAGAAGTGTGTTGTTTTAGTGAATAAATGAAAGTTTCTTCTGTGAATGCTGGTATTGACCTCTGTCAAATGATAAAACCCACATAGCATTATTATGCTGCTCCCTTGGTATACAGGCTGTAATATTTCAATTCTCATTTTCCCCTACCTCTTACATTTTGAGCTTTGTAGGCTATTGGTAGGATATTCATATTTCTGTCTTCTAGGAAAGTAGAGCAATGATGTGGGGTCATGCAGCCATGCTTTAGCATTGGGTGTACAAACAGTGGTTCTCACTAGACCTTCTCTGTATTCCTCGCTTTGCTTTCCCACCTCTTCCCTTGTCCCCCTCACCCCTCTTGACATTCTTGAGTGGTTTTATTATTATCTGTTACAGCAGTTACCCCTTGGTGGCATTAACTTCTTCCATTAACCTGTTTGTCTGTTTTGGTGTGGTTTTTTTGCTTCTGCCCCTCTTCCCCTTTCCACCTCCAGGCAGAAAAAGGGGGGGAACCCCCCCCCTTTCTGATGGTATTAAGAAAGAAATTCTTTCCTGTGAGGATGGTGAGGCACTGGAACAGGTTGCCCCGGGAGGTTGTGGGTGCCCCATCCCTGGAGGGGTTCAAGGCCAGGCTGGATGGGGCTTGGAGCAACCTGGTCTGGTGGGAGGTGTCCCTGCCCATGGCAGGGGGGTTGGAGCTAAATGATCTTCAAGGTCCCTTCCAAATCTAACCATTGTATGATTTGTTCAAGAATTTCTCTGGATGACAGGCAAGGACAGAGTCAAACAGCTTTATTGTAAGAAGATGGTTAAAATCTGGAATAAAGCTGCAGTTTATATTTTGGGAAATGGACAGACTGTAGTGTGAGTTAACACTCATTTTTAGTTGTTCATTTTATGGGTAAGCTCTTCATGTGCACTTGCAGGATAATGCATAGGGAATGGACTAGTAACGTTGGGAAGGTGCACCATAAAATTTTGCCTCTGGAAGGAGGGAGAGTGGGAAAGACCATTCCAGGACTTGTGAAGATACATGCATACACTTGCTTTCTAAAAATCAGTTTAACTTCCCAAAGATTAATTACTCTCCATTTCAAATAGGGTATTGCAGAGATTCTGGAGTAGAAGCTGCCTGGTTTTTGAACACACATCTTGCCAAACAAACTTGTGTGTGGCTCAAAATTTGTTACATGGTTTTAGATAACTGTTACTTCTCCCAAACTTCTGCATCTCACCTGCCACACAAAACCGCTTCTGATGTTTCTCACTACGTGGTGACTTTCCAGCTATCTTAGGTATTTTATTCTTCAGTACCAGCTCTGAAAGATAGCTTTGGAACCAAAACAAAACATTCTTATGGTTTCTTGCCATCTAATGTAAATGAGTGAGAATGCAGTTGCCCTGTAATCTCTTTGATTTATCAGATTTATTTTTTTTAAATAAGATTATCTAAAATATGAAAATTGAGCAGACTTGTTTCTCTAACGATGTGTCAAGCAGCTGCTCTTTATATTACTTGACAAAAGTTAAGATGATTTCTGTGGTAAAAGTACATTTATCTTCGAGGCAAGGAAAAATGTAATTTTGTGAGCTGGAAGCTGCTAAGCCACTTTGTAACAGCATTTGGCTACTGTTGTGCCAACAATTCAGTCCTTCAGAATTTGCAGAGTTGGATCTTCAGCTGCTAAAATCCTGTGTGTGCTACTTCTGTCACAATTCCTGCCTGTGCTTAAAAAAAAAAAAGCACCACCAACCCTCATGTCATCAGATTGATAGCAGGTGCTGCTCATACAACCAACCACCTCAAGGGCCATGGTGGCTTCTGCATGTGAGTGGGTGTAGATCAGTGTAAATCATGCCTTTGTCTTTATGTCTGTGAAGCTAGGGAATATTGACTTTAGGCAAAGATATAAGCTCAGCAGTCTGATACGACCAGTTGTGGGTCAGCAGCTCTATGGCAATAGTCTAAAAGTGTTCCTCCTTCTGTTGTTCAGTATATGGTTGTGTCTACGGCAGTAGCAGCTGCTGTCTCTACTCTCAGGAGGTGAAAGTAACAAAAAATGATTTCAAAGAGCTTTTAGTCTTAGTTTCTTCTATTAAATCCTGCATATTTTTTTCTTTTTAAAGAAACATGAAAGGCTTAATATGCTTCTTTTGAATACCTTTATCTTCTGTGGTCTCTATGACTTAATTAGCCATAGCAGAAGTAGGCAGAGGAGATAATTTAACCTCCATTACTCAGTGGGATCAGTGTCTGCTGTCGTCCTCTGCCATGCCATCAAGTATAAAAGTGCATAAAACTTTTTGCTCTTCCTTTCCCACCTTTACTTGAGGCACAGCTCATTAGTGCAATTAAGAGTATTTGTTGTGATTCAGACAACCTGTTTTTTCCCTCTGAAAAATCAGGAGCCGCTGTGGTGTCTGGGCCCCAACTCTTACTCTGTCCAATTTTTTGTTGCATGAAATTGAGCCTGTCTTCAGGGTAGACTCCACGGTTGAGTCACCATCCCTGAATGTGTTTAAGAGTCATTTGGATGTGGTGTTGGGGGATATGGTGTA